GGCATCCATTTAAAGGTCTCCTCTATGTGAGAGAGTATCTAGCCCAAGTGTGGGGCCTTGACATTGCTCATCCACAACTAATAACCAACTGGACAGTCCACTGAAAAGCAGCCCACCATGATGCAAAGCACCAGTCATTACAATCAATGTTGGAGGCCTTTCTCCGGCCACCCTATGTCAGTCCTGGTCTGTCTCCTCCATGAGTTCTCCAGGATCTCATGGTCCTGGTCCTCAGAATCCATTAATCAGACTGAATCTGGGAACTTTCATATAAAATTGTGACTCTTTAGCCCACAGACAAGCGCTTCTTCCTGTTCCCAAAATTTTATTCAAATTTTTATTTTGAATTTATTTTAAATAGAAATGAATGCCAGCTGTTGCAGTATGGTACATTTGCTCTTTTCTTTGCTTCTTCCCACATAGTTTGCTGAAAAGAATTCTTGCTTTAAAAAACCCTCACATTATCCAGATACCCTTCAAGTTCCTGGGTTGCACGTTTGTATCTTGCCATCTTTTATATTTCAGGTCACTACTAGAGCCATTTAGAGCTTCTGTATAGAGAATATAAATTCTGGATTGTTGTGTCTTGTTTATCTTCCCTTCTTGCATGTCCAAACTGGCATTTGTAAGTGGCTTTTGTCTAGTATTATTTCAAACACCATTTGGACTATTGTGGTTGAAAATAATAAGTGCATTCACAGTCTATCAACGTATCTTGACCAGGATTGTACAATGCGGTGGATCCATACACAGAAAGTACCATTGTCTTTCAGTTGTGTCAATAGTTAGCATAGTGCACACTCCAAATGATGCAGGCAACAATGGGATCCGAATAGTGTGAAAACCCAGGACAAAATACGATAATTTTGGCCTTAGGTTTTATCTTGCTTTCATTTTGTAGTGTTAAAATTACATATTTAACCGCATTGTACTTTAGGGTTGTAAAACAGCTGCAGTATAAAAATAATCAGGGTTTTTTTCAGTCATAGTGTTTCCACTTTATAAATCCTAATTCCTGGAGGTCAACGATGGAGGAAGTAATAATGGGAAAACGGAGCCGATTCAGGTTGGTTTCCTCAGTCAGCAAATGCTGAAGGTCAGCCATTATGTTAGCATGTTAATTTACTATTAAATTTATATTCCACGACCATTAGTTCCATAGGACTCTCTAGGTAGATTACAAAATAAGAAGAGTGAAACAACAAAATAAAATCTCTTATACCAATATAGTAACAATTTAAATAATAGTATACCAATAAGACAACAAGATAAACAAAAACAACAATATACACCCTGAACAACAATATACAGCTGAGAGTTAGGATGTGAGAAATTAAAACAAGATATGTTAAAATTCAGGGATGATATAAAACTTAATTCGATTAAAATTTATACAAAATAAAATTGGTTATTAAAATACCTGGAAAATAATGTTGTTTTTGCTTGGTGCCAAAAAGATTGTAATAACCGCGCCTGCTTTCAGGAGGCTATTCCACAACCACTGAGAAGGCCTCTCTTCTGTTCGCCATCTTCCTTGCCTCCTTCAGAAATTTTATTTGTTTGTTTGTTTGTTTATTTATTTATTAGGGTTCTATCCCACCTTTTTTTTCTTACAAAGGACTTCCATCATTCTCCTCCTCCTGTTCTCACTCTTCTCCTCACAACAACGACCCTGTGAGGTAGGCCAGGCTGAGCGTCTGTGACTGGCCCTAAGTCACCCAGCTGGCTCCAGACCCACACTCTAGTTTATTTATTTAAAATGTTTTAATACCATCCCCTACTGAGGTCTTGGGATGGTTTGACAGTAAGGCAGAATAAAACAAAATAAAACCCGGCGTCCTAATTGAGTTCTCTTCACCTCACCACACTGGCTCTCATTTTGCCTGCCGTGAGGCCCGTCATGCAACCCCTGAGCTTATCCTGCTGCCTTCAGGGGTGATTTAAGATGCTGCCCCATAACTAGAATTGAAGTAAAGCGTCTACCATGTTGTGTTGCTTCTTTATGTGGCAGGAGCAGGACGGCGGCCATCTTGGTGGCCACCATCTTGGCCGTCGTCTTTACTTTTACCTCAGGCAGCAACACATATTGGGTTTGCCCTGCCTGAGGCAGAGGCCAAAACCGAGCCAGGCCCCTCGTCTCCCATTCCTCATGCAGAAGCTGACTGGACTGGAAGCTGAATCTCAGGGACTCTTTCCCCTTTTGTATCACTGTTTGTAAATTTTTATAAATAAGTGAAAGTTCATATGACATCCGTATGAGCGACAGGGCAGCATTTGCCGCCTCACCTGAGTAGGCCGTGTGGGACACACAGCTCAGTCCTCCGGCTGTCGCTTGAAAAAAGAATAAAAATCACACAAATCCCTCCCCACAGAAAACATGCAAGGGACGCCATTTCTGGCTCTCTCCCCTCATTTGCACTGAAATAACAGTCAGGTGCTGGTCAGGTTGGCGTCTGTCTGTGGAACCATGGGGGCGCCATGTTGTCCTCCACCTCAGACGGCAAAATGTCTTGGCCCATCCCTGTGGCTTTGCGAACGTGCCTCTTCTCCCTTGATTTTTATGCTTCTTCATAGCCGGCTGCTAAATATTGAGATTTTACTCTCTGTTGTTTTAACATCCTGCCTCAGGAGTCTTGGACTTGGAAAAATATTTGAGGGACACTGAGGCGCCTGTAATAGGCAGCATGGCTGGGGCTTCGAAATCCCTAGCCAGCCACAAAGTCATCCTGATCCCTCCACTTCTGCTGCACTATTCTCACAGCTTCAGAAGACATCGGTTTCTTTATTTTTCCTTCCCTTTGGCTTAAGCAAGGTTCGAAATAGGCAAGGTGGGGGTTTCTGTGCTTCTTGTCCTGAGGCAAAATTTGAAATTTGAATTAAGGCAACTGAATACCTCAGATATCCCATACTGCTGTCTTCAACAATGAGACTAAAGGCATATTTCTTCTGACATGCCTTCCCAGATTAGTTCCTTGGTTGTTTGTTTGCTACATTTGTATACTGCCCTCTGGCCATTTACAATTATTAAAAACATAAACACCATCCCTGAAGTAGTAAAAAACAGTAGAAACAATATATTCATAAGATAGTATAAAACAACCAAGGGAACAGCCCATAACCATGGGACAATAATCAGGCATGACAGAAATTTAAAATCATATTTAAAATTGGCTCAGCGATGAGACACATAGACTAACCATGACAATATTTGGAGAAGCAAAAAGCTTTCACCTGGTGCCAAAAAGGTATCAGGGATGGCGCCAGGTATGCCTCTCTAGAGACCATTTTGCAGAAATGGGATGCCACTACTGAAAAGGCTCTTATCCTGGTTGCAACCCACTTACATCTTTTTGGGGGGCTTCCCTGAGAAGCACCTCAACAGGGTTGGGTAAGAACATATGGGACCAAGTGTTCCTTCAGATAACCTGGCCCCAAGGTCATTTTTATTAATATACCGTCTTTCAGTTTAAATTTGAATAACCCAGAGCCTATGGAAATGGGGTGGTGTATAACAACCTGCCCATGTTCCCCAGCAACTGGCATGCAGAGGCATTCTGTTCCTCTGCTCCTCAGGAACAACAAGAATGCATTTCTGCACTTCTCCAGATATTCTCTATAAAACGCCTCTGTTGATAGGGAACTTGGAAAAGCCCTGGATGTGGGGAATTAAAGTTGGTGCCAGAGTTCGCTGATGCAATTCTAGAGGGACCGGGAAGGATGTGTGGGAGGAACAGCTCGGCCCCTCCATGGGGTGTGTGCTCCCGAAGCTATCAGGAAGGGAATAGTTTCGGAAAACGTGTGGGCTGTGGCTGCGTTGTCAGCAAGATGGAAAGATGAGCCGAGATGGGCTTTCTTCCTCTCCCCTGAAATTCCTAGGCAAGCGGATAACTTTGCTGCCTCAGCCGTGCTGTTTTTTGACCCCACAAGTTCCTTCCTTCCTTCCGGGCACTCTTGCTCTAGAAGCAGAATGCCTCTTTCTAAGCAAGGGGGAATCCAAGGCAAACTCTTGGCTGCTGCAGATTTTTCTAATTTGACCTCAGTGCATTTCAGTGCAACTGCTCTCATGCGTTGCTAGAAGTCAGAAGCTCACTGATTCATGGAACCAATTTTAACAGCACTTTGGCCTTTTGTAGGACATGTTCACAAGGCCAGTTTTATAAAGATACCTATTAATAGCAAGCTTCCTCTGTGCATGTCCAGCCCATTGTATTTCTTCCATGGTGGGGAAATGAGGGAGGAATAAACTCAGAATTGTTCCTTAAATAGCTTCCTTGAATTGCACCAACGACAGTTTCTATTCCTGTGCCTAAGGGATGGGTAACTAAATTCAAGTTGGGGGCCAAATGAGGCAGAGACACACCCACACATTCACAACACCTTTCACAAGATAAATGGCATGGGTGATGCGACCGCACCTTCTGGTATAATTTGGGCAACTATCCTGCACCGACGGGTGTGCTAGGCTGTATTTGTCAGAATGCCTCCTCAGAGGTAAAACCCACTGAGTTCAGCAGGAGCTCAAGGGCTGCAGCTGTAATTTTCTTCTAATGGTTAGAAAAACTGGGAAATAGCAAAACTTCATTATTACAACATGTGAGGAAATGAATTATGAAAGGAAATCAGAAATTAAAAGAGGAAATTTTTGAATTAAGCTTGGTAGGTTTGCTGAACAGAAACTGTCCTGTACAGTTACACGTAGCTTCCTGCCCCAGCATTCAAGGGTCTCTGGATCAGATTTACCAGTTTAACCCGGGCACCAAAAAAGGGATATCCGGTACACAGGGAACCTCCTGGTGGGGAGGCAGGCTAGACCTTGGTGAGCCCCAGTGCTCATTTGGGTGGTTGGGAGATCCCATTTTTATTTCCCCAAAATATTCAGTGTACTTCCTTCAGGTATTGCAGACTTGCAGCCCACTGCCCTTGCATCTGCAGGGTTTGAACACAGCAAATTCTGATGAAATTATCACACATTCTTCATCAGAACTCTTCTCTCTTTCCAGGGACTTTCTGCCCCGTGGATCTGGCATTGTTACCAGGCGTCCTTTGGTCCTGCAGCTGGTTAACTCCAACACAGGTATGTAGCTTAGTATCTCCCTCACTTCATATCAGTACAAATTAAATCTTTCCTACAGTACATATTACTTTTTTTTTGCACTGATAGCTAGAACCTTCTTAATATTGATTTTTATTGTGGCTCACCCAAGTGTCCATATACATGTGCAGATATCCAACACACACACACACACACACACGGGGGGGGGGGGACAAAAGCAGGTGCCACAAAGCAGGCATAGAAAAATTGTGGGAAGACAGGACAGAGATAAGACACACAAAGGCCAAGATTAATCCTGATCCACAAGGAAGAAATAGATGCAGTAAAAGTGGCAGGAACCTTAGGGGAAGGTGGCCATGCTATTTTGGAATTAATGATAGAGTGGGATATGAAAATTCATGATAGAGTGTGATATGAAATCTTGGACGCTAGGAAAGTCAACTTCGAAAAACGCAGAGAGAAGCTGGATGTGATATCATGATATACTGAAGGGAAAAAAATAACTCGGGGGGAATGAATCCTGAAAGTGAGATACTGAAGGCACAATTATGAAACATTCCCATGAGAAGGAAAAATGGGAAAAGATAAAGAAAACTCCCTGGCTAATTTGCAGGGAACTTTCTAATGAGCTGAGACTCAAAAGGGTCATGTGTAAGAAATGGACAGTGTGGAGAAGTAGAAGCATTTCCTGAACTTATAATGAAAGTGTCAGGAAAGCGAAGGTCCCAGATGAGCCCAAGGCTTGCAAGGATGCTAAAAGCAAGAGTAGACCTCTCCTTGATCGTATTTGGCTATGTGAGGGGCAAGAAGAAGATCAAGGTGGGGTTACAGGCCACTTCCTTGTGGACAGGGCAACCTGAGCCTTACCCAGGACACAATGAGGCCTGGCCACAGTCCTGTCATCACTTGCCAGCTCAGAAGATGAGTCTCTGGCATAGCCTGCATCCCTCAGCTTTGCGGAAGTCAGAGGCTACAAAATCAGGCAAGGGCCCTGATAAAAGGGCTATAACAAAAGGGTCCTTTATTGGCTATGCCACAAAAACAACACTGTCTAATCACAGCCTGATTCTCATTGGGTCTTGTATGTCATCCAGGAGAGGCAAAGCCTCCCTGTGGCTCCAGTTGGCTTTCGCTCCCTGTTGTGGCAGCATCCTCTTACTGTGCTAGTAGGAGAGAATTCCAGCCAGCAGAACTCACTCGGAGCTATCCAAGGTCCTGTTTCCTTCTTGCTTTGATCTTGCTATCAGCTTCCCCTGTTACCTTTGAGGAAAGGACTGGGCAGTCAGCTGTTGAAAGGTGCCATTGTCCATTTACCCAAGCTGTGCTGGAGTTCTGAGTCAAGAAACTTTGTGTCTGACCACAAAGACCATTCTGGCTAGGAATCACAGCAGTGCAGTCCAAGAAATCTAGCCGGCCAAGGAAAGCTGCTATAAGCCCACCAAGTGCTAAGATATGATGTTCTTCTCTTGCTATTAAATGACTTATCATCAAGTGAATGGAGTACCAGTCCAGAAATATAATCCCGAGACATCCTTGTGTGTTACCATTCAGTCTTAAGAGCCAAGGCAAAGAGGCAAACATACAGCAAAAATCAGAAGTATTTTGCAGCTTGCTGAACCCAGTTTAATTCTCTCTTTCTCTCTATCCCCCTCCACACATCCAGAGACACCCCTCCCCACACACACAAACACGTGTGAATGGATTCTGCTTTGCAGTAACTCTTAGACTGGTCTAGAAAAGCCTTCAAACAGATTTACACTGGTGCCAGAAGTTGAAACATTGTGTGTGCCTTGTCTGAGTGAAGCCTGAGTGGGCCGCCCTAGGCCTGGTTTTTGCCATGCTGCAGCCTGCTGACCTCTAATGGAAGGGTCCTCCATTACATTCCCATGGGGGTTGAGGGAGGGTTATTTTGCAGCAATGGGAAGGGTCCAGCTGTATAACTCTGCCACTTGACCTGCCAAGCTTCCCTGGCTTCAGATTGTGTGGCCTGCAGTACAATGTAGAGAAGTCTGCCTCCTAGTGGCTGAAGATGTATTATAGTGCAAAAGTGCACATCCCTAAGGCCACCTTAGTAAGCACGGCAAGTTTCAGCGGTCTAGGTTTCATAGTTTTGACACGACTGTCCTGATGTATGGGCAGACAGACACACAGTTCTCTTTTATGAGGTCTGCAGATGCTGTCAGACTACAGCTCTCCACCATGTCCAGTTCTTGCTCAGCCCCTCACCATGTGTCCTTGCTTACACAATTGTTGCCTGTGATATTCCTTCATCACCCCTCTACCTTGCTTTGTCTAGAATATGGCGAATTCCTGCATTGCAAAGGGAAGAAGTTCACAGACTTCGAAGAGATACGTCAGGAGATCGAAGCAGAGACTGACAGAGTCACTGGATCGAACAAGGGGATCTCTCCTGTCCCAATCAACCTGCGGGTCTATTCTCCCCATGGTGAGTCCTGTCTTGGGACTGTTGCAGCACATATAAATAACTTCTCTACAGCATTTTAGGTGCAACCCTAGACATGCTTGGGCTAAAAAAATTCCTGTGCTTCCACCATTCCAACCCTTCCAGCATGGCTGTGGGGAGCTGTAGGACCCCTTTGCCCTCTAAAGATGCCTGAGATTGCACCTGTACATTCAGGGAGAAAAAGATGCTGAGGATGAAGGGCATGATATGGGGTGCAACCTGACTGAAGACCCACAGGGCACCACCCTATTCAGGCAGCAGTAAATCCTGGCATAGCATTACCTGAAAAGGTTTCTGCAAGGTCCTGAATACCAGGAAGCAGTACTTTTCCTGGGCTTCCACATGCGGTTCCTCTTAGGCATTTCTAGCAACCCAGCGGAGGAAGTGTTTTGGGCATCTCATTCTCTTCTATTGTCTAGTCCTCAGCCTGACCCTGGTGGATCTGCCTGGAATGACTAAGGTTCCAGTTGGAGACCAGCCAGCTGACATCGAGTTCCAGATCCGTGACATGCTTATGCAGTTTGTCACCAAAGAGAACTGCCTCATCCTTGCGGTTTCCCCAGCAAACTCAGATCTGGCCAACTCCGATGCTCTCAAGATCGCCAAAGAGGTTGACCCTCAAGGTAAGCCCAGCTTCTTTGTTTATCGCATAGTAAATATGAATAAATATTCATGGAAACCACCTTGAGGAATAATGGGACACGAAACCACTAAATACTTTGAGAATTTCACCAAGTTTGCATTTCCTTGCTTTTGAATGGAGAGGCTTTGCTCCCTACACTTACTGCACACTGGATCTCATCAGAAGCACCAGAGGAATCACAAATTTGCAGTCCTATTTTTGCTGTGTGTCTGTCTACAGAGAATTTCTCCCCCTGTGACTGGGCATTGGTCTTTACACACATCATAAGTGGTGGCTTTCTTGGCCTTTATTATACAGGAAAGGTCCGGAACAGCCTTCCCTAACTTGGTACCCTTCAGCTGCTTTGGACTACTACTCCCAGCATTCCTGATCCTTAGTCATGCAAACTGGGACTAATAGGAATTATAGTCCAAAGCAGCCAAAAGGCACCGCTTCAGAGAGTTTGATCCAGGATATGTATTGTAATGAAGCCAGATAAGTATGACCCATAACTCTCATTGGTTCGAGGCATGCCATGTTTCCTTGTGACTTAACAGGTCAGCGTACCATTGGAGTTATCACCAAACTGGACCTGATGGATGAAGGAACAGATGCTCGGGATGTTCTAGAGAACAAGCTACTTCCACTACGGAGAGGTAAGATAATGACCATTCAAAATTGGTTAAAAATGTCATTCTCCACTTTCCACATTTGATATTGGCTTTCTAACTGATTGCCGGAAGTCTTTTAGACTTTTAAAAGGAAGCCAGGTTCCTGCTGAACATCAGAAAGACCTTCCTGACTGTTAGAGCAATACAACAATAGAACCAATGACTTGCGGAGGCTGTGGGCTCTCCCACACTGGAGGCTTTCCAGATGCAGCTGGACAGCCACCTGAGAGGGACGGTTTGACCTGGAGTCCTGTCCTGAGCAGGGGATTGGACCCAATGGCCCTCTTGGCCCCTTCCACCTCTACTAGTCTATGACTCTATGACATAAGTCCCTTCTGTTTATATGATGAGAAGTAGCCCTACAGTTACGAAGTTTCATCCATCTTTTTCACTTTCCTAATCTGTGCATTTGTACTTTTACCTGTGGCAGGATGTCAGATGTGGGGCGTTTGAGGTGCTTCTTCCCAGTCATCAGAGAGCTGGATTACTTGATCCTTTCTATTTCTAGGAGCTTGAACAATCCTTGTGGTACTTGTGCAAAAACATAAAGAGAAGCCCTTCTGAATCAGACGCAAGGCTTGTCCCGTCCAGTGTTCTGTTCATTCACTGGCTCTTCTCACATAATGCACTCTTCAAAGGTTGTTGTTTCAGACTCAGAATACTTAACTGAAATGCCAAGGCCAACACCAACCGGTCTAGAGATAAGACAGGTGGCTGAGGATGCTTTCAAATTCTGCAAGAAACTCACTTGAACATTCGAAGTTAAGTGGGTGCAGATTAAACATCATCAGCCTGTTCATACTGCTTCAGGTAAAATGAGCAGACCCATGAAGAAGGGTCAGAGGTTCTTCCCCACAAGTGGCAAGAGCCACTCTGAAGACGAAGGCACCTCATTTGGGTTTGGGAAGGAGGAGAGGAATGCTGCTTGGAATCAACTTCATACCATCAAGTTGCATTTCCCTAATAACCACTATTCTAATTTTGCTTGTGTAAATGGTAATGGACTTCTGCAATACTCTTCTTTTGCCTTACAAAGCCAGCCTAGCTGCCTAGCTTTAATAAAACACTTAAGTTGGAAAGCCTTTGTCCTGAACTGCTTCAGAGGGGTGGGAGCAGGGAAGACCAGCACATGACTGTGGCCCACTGGGTGGTTATGGGAAATGTACAAGCAGGGCATGAGTGCAGCAGAGCCCTCTCACCAAGTTCCCCAGCATATTGCCTCTGAGACTGAAAATAGTATATGCCCGTCATTACTACAAGGCATTGATAGCCTCTGGGAATTTATCTAATGCCCTATTAAAACCATCCAAATTGGTGGACATCACTGCATCTTATAGTAGCAAATTCCATAGCTGAATTATGCACCCTGTGCTGAAGTCCTGTCTTTTGCCTATTTCAAATCTTCCATTATTCAGCTTCAATGGGTGACCCTTGGGTTCTAGTAGTATGAAACAGGGGCAAGTTTGGATAGTAATAATGATCCTTGATACATGTTTATCAAGGCATCCCCCATGTTTTCTAAGCTAGAGAGTCCCAAGAATATTTATTATTTATTATTCTATCACCCTATTTGTTAAAAAGCCATCTGTTGGTGCTGAGCAGCACTTTAAAACAGTAAAAAAAATCTGGCCTTATTTATCTAGTCATGTTATTTGGAGCAGTAAGAATTATTATCATTCTGCCTAGTGATATTTCATGGAAAACGTTCTGGATGGCTTCCATCTTGATCAGCAGGTTAGAGCATGCTGGGAACTGTAGGGCATTCTTTTCCATCTAAATATGCAGTTATTGGTGCAGCTGTGTTCCTTTGCCCCCTGATTTTCCGTGCTGTCCTTGTTTAGGTTACATTGGTGTAGTCAACAGAAGCCAGAAGGATATTGATGGGAAGAAGGACATCCAGGCTGCCCTTGCCGCAGAGAGGAAGTTCTTTCTCTCCCACCCAGCTTACCGGCACATGGCTGATCGCATGGGCACCCCCTACCTGCAGAAAATTCTGAACCAGGTAACGACAGCCACAGAGCGGACTAGCTTGTATAGAGCTTCTGGAGTGGCATTCCTTCCACTGTGCTAAGTCAGAATCAGAACTGCAACATTTAATCAACTGATTGGTCATGTCAATGGATTGAGAGAGCAATCCTATGGTCCCTAGACAGCCACAGCATTTTTTGGATTTATTTATTTACGCCTAGATTTTATATGCCGTCTGAGTACTACAGTCTTGGGACGGTCTGGGATTCCCAGTCCCCAGATCAGAAATTTGCTCTAACTTCAGAACTGGGGATCTTCACTGGGATCCCCCTTCTCCCTCCCTCCCTCCCAGATGGCTTGGAAAGAACTGGGCTAGGAGTTCCTCCAATGCCACAAAAATAACACTGCCAAAGGGGTTGAGTGGAGAGGACCAGCTGCACGAATATAGGACAGCCTTCTTCTCTCCTGCTCTGAGACACCCCAGCCTTCAGCTTGTGCATGAACCAACCCAATGAGATTTTACCGGACATTTTTTAAAAGAAGTCCTCTTTTTGTGCAGCAACTGACCAATCATATCCGAGACACACTGCCAGGCCTGCGGAACAAGCTCCAAAGCCAGCTTCTCTCCATTGAGAAGGAAGTGGAGGAATATAAGAACTTCCGTCCCGATGACCCTGCTCGCAAAACTAAAGCTTTGCTTCAGTGAGTGGTGTATGATTACTTGATAAATGTTTTGGTTGCTTTTCAGCAAAACTGGTTCTAAAACAGGAGCAGGCTGCTCCTGATTCTCCAGATCTTCTGGTCTGTAACTCCCGTCCTTCCTCATTGGCTACATCGGCTGGAGTTGGTGGGAGTTATGGGCCAAAACATCTGGAGAGTCACAAATTTCCCACCTCTGCTTTAGGGGAAATATGGTAAATTAATTACTTTAATAAACAAAAGAAATAAAATCAATCAAAATACATCAGCTGAAGTCAGGCTAAGGGCATTGGACTCTTTCACCTTGTAGGCCCCTTCCAACTTTATAATTCTTTTCTATAATAATGCGGCAGCAGTACCAGTATCAGTAAATGCAGAAAGTTCTCTTTCTTCATTATAAATAAAAGGTGAACAAGGAAGTGTCAAGGAGGTTCTTCCTGAGCATGTACTTCCAAAGTGTGAGCTCACCAACAGATAAAGCCCTGCCTTGTGTTTCCACCAGTTCCAGCTCCAAGTAGCGTGGAGCTGGCAGTGGGGGTGGGGGGCACAGAAAAAGAGCTGTGCTAAAGGTCTGAGCAGCCAAGGAGGAATTTACAGAAGGTGCTTCCGAAAGTTCAACACCCTCTGAACCTTTCATGGCTGGAATCGCCTTGATCCGAGCTTGAAAGCAAATGGAAAGCCACCGCTAGAGCCATGGCCCTCTGTTCTCCCTGGGCCTTCCTCATCTGTATGCTGTCTAATGGTAGTGCAGTGACAGTTGCCTCTGAACTGTCTTGAAGGGCAGCCCAGCCGATGTCAAGTGTGGTGTGATAATCCACTCAGAAGGCTACCATGAAATAACAATAGGAGAAGAAAGCCCACCACACGCTCACAAGCGGATGTTTGTAAACAGATGGATGGCTTCAGTTGGAATTACAGAATTATTCAACCAGGTGGGAGTGCTTTCTGGATGGGGTCTTCACGACATTGGCTTTTTCTGTGTAGGATGGTTCAACAGTTTGCTGTGGACTTTGAGAAACGCATTGAAGGTTCTGGGGATCAGATCGACACCTATGAACTCTCTGGAGGTGCCAGAATCAATCGCATCTTCCATGAACGATTCCCCTTTGAGCTGGTGAAGGTAAAACTGCTCTTCCATTGGTCTTTGACTTCAGCACTTTCTTCATCTCCGCAGTCTTTTCCTGAATTGTATCTTATTTTTGTCTTCTTTTAATTTGTGGTGGTCTTCCGTTTCCTTGTCGTTATTTTGTGTCTTCTTTTTAACTGATGATCATCCCTACACCCCCTTTTTTACACATGAAAAGAGTCTCCTCATCTTTATGTTGCTGAACTTCTCTAGCTGCCTATGTGTTGGGCATGACAGCATCTTGGCATTTGGTCCCACTGATGGCCTTTTCTCCTGTTGCAGATGGAATTTGACGAGAAGGAGCTTCGACGAGAAATAAGCTATGCCATTAAGAACATCCATGGTATCAGGCACGTATCAATGCGCCAGAGGTGGGGCCTCTGCTCCTTTCTTTTGGCAGTATCTCTAGAACATCCAAGCCTGGGTCCAGAAGAGTTCAGAGGTGCGGTAGGTTGGCAGATGGACAGGAACACCTGACCAGGCCATTGGCTTTGAAACTTGTTGGCTGTTTCCCAGAGGTAAAGCTTCCTTTCTAATTATGGTGGAAGGGGAAGTGCTGTCATCGGTAAGAGGAAGTAACATGGAAAGTAACATCCTAACTCCTACCCCACCCCATCCAGCCATTCCTTTATGTTGCTTTTCTGAGTATCAACAAGGGCTCAGTTTTACAATCTTGTGACACTCTAGTACCCTGGTGGAACAAACTCCCAGAACCGTCCAGGTAGTCCGGTGTGTGCTACGTCTATAGGAACTTCCTAAATAGGGATGTTCTAACATTTTGTATAGACCACATCTGGAAGCAAACCAGTCTAGTTCACACCTTGCAAATTAATGTGCAGATCAAAACACACTCGATCTTCTGATTGCACACATCTCTGGAAGTTGTGATGCCATTTTTGGCTTTACAATGCATCAAGATGAATATAAAAATGTACATCTTGCCATAAAAACGCCTGTGAAAATGTGCACGTTACCACAAATTATATATGAAAATGTATTTTACCATACAGTGCATATAAAACATGCATGGATTTTTATGCAGCTTGAAAATCCAGCCTAAAAGTTCTGGGGTGGGTTTATCCAAAAGGTAAAGGGGCAACTCATTTGGTTTTCAGGCTTTTTAAATACAAATTTCTAAACTATTTTAATGATTTGTTTGTTAAAAAATGGAGGGCAGAAAAATTTTAGAGGGAAGTACCCCATCCCAAGTCCAGCCCTGGCTATAGGCCAATGTCTATTCCCTATATGATCTCCCTGCTTTTCTCTTCCCTGTGGGTCACAAAAAGTGAAGGTAACACCTATCCATCACAAACTTAGCACAGAATTCAGTAGCATAACATGCTTCAAAGTACTAGAGAAAAATGAAATGGATTAGGAAAGTGGAGGAAGGCTTGAATGAGGGAGTGGGTAGGACACAGGAATAGGCAGGCTGGCAGACCCAAGGCCTGTACGAGCAGGAAGCTCACCCTTCACTCTGCCTTTAAGAACTTCCATCTGGACTGCCAAGTTCCTGTTGGAAATCAGATTTTGTTGCCCCGATGGAGCTCTTGTTGATGACAGCTTCTCTTTCCTGGGTTTTTGAGTTCTACCTAGCAGGCACCCCAGCTGTGCTCTTTTTATTTTTGTCCTGTGATCTGAGCAACTGGCTCCAAAACTTTCATGTAACACTGTGATGTTTTCCTTGCCCTTCTCTCCTTCCTCCCTCCCCTCCCTCCTGCCTTGTCTTGTCCACATCGTCCCGGGCGTTTAGAACTGGTCTCTTCACACCTGACATGGCCTTTGAGACCATTGTGAAAAAGCAGGTGAAGAAGATCAAAGAGCCTTGCCTGAAATGTGTGGATATGGTCATTTCGGAGTTAATCAATACCGTTAGACAGTGCACCAAGAAGGTAACCCGGGAGGGGAGCATGCAGTTCAAGCACGCTCATGCCTCCCTACTTCACTGGCTGAAGCACAGCGTTTGTGATCGGGGCAACAACCCTGCGTGGTAGCAATAGACTTCATTGTTGCTTTTCTCCTAACCACCCTCCTTAACAGCATGACTAGACTTGAGTGAATCCAGCCTGGGGTCTCCCAGCCAATCGGAAAGAGATGGAAAGGCCTAAGGGGTGTGGGTCAGTTGTTCACATCCCTCCAGTCAAAGCATTGGCAAGCGCGGCAAGGGCAGGGGAAGTGGAGCCCTAGAGTTTTGGATCCCACGGCCACTGTTGAGGGGCCGCTGCATCCTCTCTGCTCCCATAGATAAGGATGACGTTCTTTTTTGCATCTATGGGAGAAAATATCCTTAAGTATCAACAGCAAAGAAACAAACATCAAAGTACTTTCCCCCCTCTACGACATGATTTCTCCATTAATTCCAGCTCCCTCAGAAGATTTGAGACCCTCTGCAGTTCAGATCTGGAATATGAATAGGAAACCAGATGTAGCATTCTAAGAGTGGATGTAGCTGGTAATTTACCTGCATTTTAAAGCAGCAGGTTTACTGCATAGTGTGGCTTTCACCAACCTCCTGCACTCTAAATGTTTTGAACAGCAACTTCCAGGATTTCTGACCATTGGTTTGGGTCTATTGGATCTGAAGTCCAGGAGCAGCAGGTTGGGGATGGTTGACCTAGTGCTTCCCAAGTCAAGGAGATGTGTCTGCTTGTCCCACTCTCAAATACTAAACTGCCTGCCTACATTTCCCTCCTTCCAAATTGGCACATACTAATTTTTGAAAACATGTTCAGAATTCACATTTTACAAAATATGTCTGGAAATTGTTTTAAGACTGCTCCAAAAATTGGTATGGGAGGTGTATTGGTGATGTCCCAGGCTCTAGCCAATAGATTTTCACAGCACTCTTTCCCTGGTTCAAACTGAACCATGCTGAAAACATGCAGAACTTTTCCAGAGCTATATCTGAAACTATAGAAAGACTGAAAGTACACCATTGTTGGAAGACCAGTGGCGGTGCTGTCAAGCCACACTTAAAATGCTACGTTTGTCTTCACCATTACCGTGCTTGCCTCTTTCTTAGGACTCCAAATCTTAGGGATCTATTCTCTAAAACCCCTGCAGCTTGGCATGTTTTCTGATTGGCTTGGTTTTGTCCTTTCTCAGAAGAGCAGCAGGGAGCAGAAGAGAACTGAGTTAAAAACATTTCTCCTCTCTTGAATACCTGCCTCTCTCTTCCAGCCTCTTGGAATGGGACCCTTTAGGTATTTTGTCCTTTCCTACCGATTGGCTTTCCCAGGGGGCTGGACATGTGCACAGAGCTGCCATTATCCTAGCCACCCCACTTCCCAAATTATTGCAGTCTTATTTTCTAAAGCTGGAAACAATACACAGGAGTGAAGAATACAGGAGAGATACCACTGCTTCTCTTGGTCCTAGTCTGCTACTTTAGGCTGCCTCCCCAGGTACTGGCATATTTTTTATAAAATAGCATTTGACTCTCTTAGACTGAGGCACTTGGAACTCTTGGCATGGTTGACCAGCTGCTGACCATTTGGGAACAGGTAACTGGGCAGGGTGAAAGAAGGAAGTGTTCTACAAGGTCCTTTGTGGTGGATCAAGGCCAAAATGAAAGATGAAACTCCTGGTTGCTTTGGCAGGAGGCTGTAGGAGCTAGCAAGGGTCCTGGCTGGGCCCCCACCAAGCGACCAGCCCCTGTCTCTGGTTCCTCAAGGCTCTAGAATGTTGGAAGGAGCTTTCCTTGTCTACCCTGCTGTCCTTTTGGGGGGCTGTGGCTGTGGGGAGCACCCAGAAATGTGCCATCAGTGCCTGGTAAGCACAAGCTCTTGGGGCTGCCAAGTATGCAGGTCATCCGAATTACTAGATCTGAAGTGCCAGCTTCTCATGCCTCCCCACCTATCTGCCCAAACCACCCCCGCTGATTTCCCCATTTGTCAGTCATCATTCTCTACTCTTCTTTTCCCCCTTCCAGGTCCCCCTTCCACCTCTGTGTTTATCCATTTTCATATTTACCCTTCACATTCTTTATCCTTCCCCCACTTTTTTCTTCCTCCCTCCCTGCTCCCACTTCCCTGAGTGGCAGATCTGTATGAGTAGTAAAATTACTGTCTGAAACTGATACGGAGAAGAATTTCCCTCTTACTTTTCCAGTGAGTACAGGGGACCCAAGTCAGAGGAAGGAGCTTGTGTATGCATTCTTCTAGAATAGGATCTACTGAGAGATCTCTGGATGATTTGTGGTAGATCAGCAAGGGGTTTCTTACTCCCAACAGCAATAACTAAAAAGATTCTTTCCTCCTCTTAATTAGTTTGCTATGGCACAATTGGGCAGCATACAAATGTTTTAAATAAAGGAATAAATAAAAAGAACTCTTGGGGAAACACGAGCAGTGAATTTTTCTGTAAAACTAACTTGTGAACTTGCTTCTAATACTGATTGACAACCCCTGGGTTGTACACCTTCATTTGTAGAAAGCATCTGCTTGTCTGAGCCACCATTTTGTGCCTGGCTCTGGCTGTGACGTCCAAATCCGAAAGCATTATGAGAGCTGGGAGGAGAAAGGGGAAAATGTCCCAGAAATTGGATGACGCTGGTGATGAAATAGTCATGCTTGTGATGTCACAGATGTGAGCCAGTAGAAACTTAACTGAGTGCAGGCACCTGTGGTACAGGAGCAATCTTTCATGGATTCACCAAGTTTGGGATCACACCCAGACTGTAGTTACTGCAGAGCTGCTGCAGCTAATTACTCCAGAATTCTTGTTTGTTCTGCTGTTGCCTCAGGGTTTCTTGCTGAGTTCATTTCACCAGGCCTAGAAACACAGTAGAGTTTGTCTGTTATGGTATGGATTTAGTTGACCTTGAAGGTGCTAATGAATGAAAGGCAATGGATACAATCGACTCTCCCAGAATCATGGAATAGTAGAGTTGGAAGGGGCCATGAAGGCCATTGGGTCCAACCCCTGCTGTTGCAGGACACCACGACTCACCATCCCACTCAAATGGCCGTCCAGTTTTGCCTTGAATGTCTGTAGTGTGGGAGAGTCAACCACCTCTTGAGGAAGCTGGTTCCACTGTCATATTGCTCTGGCAGTGAGGAAGCTTTTCCTGATATCTAGCCTAAATCTGAGTTGTTGCAGCTTGACTTTAAGTAGCTGGAAGTTGTGGTAGTCTTTACCAAACCTTGCGGGCACCCCTGTTTTGGAAAGGCACCTATCACTAGCTTGGGGGATGTAGGAAGAAGCAGATAATGGGACATGTAGGAGCAGGGAGATGATTTGCAGCACAGAGGGAAAGAGCAGAAGGGAGGCAAGCAGCAGAACCTGTGAGCTAAATGAAGTGGGTGCTTTGCTGTTTGAGTTTAGTGAAAACAAAATTGGGATGTTCATATGGGTACAGCTATTTGATTTGATCAAGAGTGACTAGGGCTTCAACATGGGTGCATCCATAGAGAAAGGCTCTAGAACTTGGAATATAACCCCCTAAGCCGGAAATGCTCAAATCCCATGGTCCCTGAGCCCCATGCAGAATGGTTTATGAGTCAGAATAACTGCACATGGCCCTGAACTTAATTTATTATTTCTGATTATGGGGATGGTGGCTATTTTGACATGACCTGAATCTTGAAAGACAAACCAGTCTTTTGAAAGTTGTGGGGGGATGTAGATGACAATCAGCATTTGATTCGTTGTTAAGTATGTCCGTCCAAAGCATTTCAAACAAGAGTAGAAGCAAGGCTGGAAGGGCAAAAGCTATTTATTTATTTATAGCTTTTCTATCCCATTCCCTACAAATGTCTCAGGGCGGATACTGCAGATTCTTTTTTTTTTAATGTACGTCTTCATGCACTGTCAGTGTAAGGCCTGGTAAGGGAGGGAGGAGGGGCCAGAAAGTTCTCCAATGTGCAAATGTTGTATTTATGTACCTGTCTCTGTCTAATGGTAGAGAAATTGTGCCAGAGAAGGGAATATATTTCATTTGTCAGGTTGTAGAATGTAGCTTCATAACAAACTTTAACTTGCAGAAGGGTATTCAGTTGTTCTGTGACAATAACACACGGGACATTTAACTCATAACCCTTTTCACAAATAAATTTCATGGAGGCCTCCAAGAAGTGAGCCTGGAGGAAAGCTTTTTCCCAACCTGCCACTGTCCAGAAGTTTTAGACCACAACTTCAATCAGCCCAGCAAGCAGAGCCAGTGGTTAGGATGATGGGAGTTGTAGTTAAAACATCTGGAAAACCCCAGTTTGGGGAAGGCTGACTATGTAGTGGTTGTGTTGATGTTCACACACACCCACTGTGGCATTTTCATGGTTCCTACAATGTAGGCTTGCTGTGAAAGCATCCCTAAGGGAGGAGGGGAGATGAGCTGAGACCACAGTGAGACTCTTAAGCAGGGTGCAGAAAGGTTGGTCTTTGCAGGCTCCATTGCTTATCAGAGAGAGACCTAGGTGGGGAGGAGGAACAGATCCTTGTGTGTACCCCTCTGTCTGTTTCATTGATCACACCTCAGCTTGCAGTTTTACATTCTGCCCTTTCTTCATCCTGCAAAACTCACCTGATGCTTGGCAGCACTTGGGGTCCTTTAGTGATGCTCACCTGAGTTAGATTTGCCTGTGTGGAGTGATCCAAAAATCTCACTTCTCATTTTTGCCTTGTGTTTTTCTCTTCTCTTCTCTCTCTCTTTCTCTCTCTCCCCGCTTTCAAACTCTCTCCCCCCATCCCTTCTATCTGATTGCTTTCTCCTCTTCTCCCCCTCTGTCTGCTTCACACTTCTTCCTTCCTTGTTGCTTCTTCCCCTCTCCCTGCTCCTTTTGCCGTGCAGAACGGGTCTCTTCACACCTGACCTCGCTTTTGAAGCCATAGTGAAAAAGCAGGTGCAGAAACTGAAGGAGCCTTGTCTGAAGTGTGTGGACATGGTTGTGAGCGAGCTCACGTCCACCATCAGAAAGTGTAGCAACAAGGTAAAGAAATCCAGCATCCCCAAAGAGAGAGAACCCTAACCAAAATCCCACACTGCGTGCACACACACGCACACGCGCACGCGCATACACGCACGCCCACATGCCGAGGCCAGGGGAGCGACCACAGGCAGAGAGAGGACAACTAGGGACCAGTGTCAGAGCACAGGGCAGAGTTTGCCTGCAGGGGAAGGATGGCTGGAAGATGCTTGCGGCTGCTAGGGCTGCGCAATGCTGGATCCAGGCTCTGGGCAGGACACCTCAGAGGCTCCCCTCCCTCAGTGCACCTACCTTCTCACCCCCATCATCACAGCTGCTCTTGCTCCTCATCCTCTTTCTCAGCATTGTTCCCACTTGCTTGTTCAGCAGGCAGGCAGCCCGCGGGGACGGAAGCAGCCGCGTCTGCTGCTCCTCCTTGCCTCTTGCGTTGTCTGGGCCAGAGCAAGAACACGGTACCTTGAGAAGAGCTGTGCTGGATTAGAGCGAAGGCTGCCCAGGCCAGTGTGCTGCTCACAGAGTGGCCCTTCCACTGCCTACAAGCCAGACGTGAGAGCAGCGACCCCTCCCACCCACGTCCCGCAGTGCCTGGAGCGCATAAGCATACTGCCTCCGACACTGGGGAGAGCATAGAGCCATCGGGACTAGTGGTCCTCAATAGCCTTCTCATCCATGTATTTCCCCAGTCACCCTTTAAAGCTGTCCAAAGGAAATGGATACGTCTTGAGGAAATGGATGCGCTGAGTGCCTGAAACGACTGTTTTATGTGAAGAAGTCCTTCCTTTCATTAATCCTGCATCTCCTATCCATCAGCTCGACTACTTTGGATTCTGGTATTGTGTGTGAGAGAGACAAAGGTCTCCCTATCCATTTTCTCCACACTGCATAATTCTGAACACCTCTGTCATTTGACAAGCAGATTGCAATGGTGAAGAGAAGGAGCAGCGGCTGCAGCCGCTGCTGCTGGTGCATCTCTGCTGGGTTGTGGGCCCTTCGCAGGTGCCCAGCCCAGGCCTTCTCCTGACACTGGCCCTGAGCTTGAGCAAAGAGCTGAGATCCAGCAGGCATGAAGAAGAGGTTGAGATTTTCGCAACAGTGAGGAAGTACAAGTGACGGAACAGGCTAGTTTATTTGAGCTGAAATGTGGCTTGACTGTGGTGGGTCGTGTTGCTTGTGGTCGTGTCTGCCTTGGGGACCGTAGCCGTGATCGTACCTGGTCGACCTCTGCGCCAGTGACGGGAGAAACAGCCCCCAGTCAAGTGCATGTTGCAGCAAATTCCCTCCCTTTGTCAACTGTGAAGGAAACAATAGGAAAGCTTGGGCTGGCTTTGTGGCTACAAGCCACAGCCACCCAGCTGCCATGGCCCTGTCGGCTTCTCTGGCAGAAGCCTCCTCCATCGGTTCCTCAGCTGCCTTGTAACTGATTCATCCACAGATGACAACACGGAGTAAATGGAACCATTGCACTCTTTCTGGGGGTGATGACGGTGCTGTTCCCAAGTTCTTTCCGGAGAAAGAGAAACAGCAATCTTGTAGCATATTGTTCTTTCCATGAAGAAAAAGTGCTGTGTTGTCACTCAGTCAAAGAGGGAGCCAAGCCATAGCGAGCAATTCAGAAGTCAACTAAATGAAGGACAATTGCTTGTTAGCTCAGCCTTGTTCCCGCCTTTTGTTTCAGAATGAAATCCTGTTCCAAGTCTCCCTCATTCACTGACTTGCATGTTGAAAGCGTCTTTTATGTGCTTCTGCTGCCCCATTTGGAAATCCAGGCTTTGGAAAACTAATTAAGAGAAGGGATAGTCAGATTGGCTTCTTTGACTGGAATGGTAGCATTCCAGGACTTTTTCAAACGAGCCTATCTGCATCCATATTCTTGGATCGGGGTGCTGTTTTCTTGGACCCATGCAGTCCATCAGGGGGCGCCACATACCTCTTTAAAAAGGCAGGCTTGCCCATTAGTTGATGTCAATGTGTTTATTAAAACTAAGCCAGGCTCCTAATATGCTTGTTTCACCACTCAGATAATCTATTAAAGGTAAAGCTGCACATTTTGAGAAGCCACACACAGCTTTTCTCTTGTATAACAGGGCTGGATCTCTCAAACACACAAAGATATTCCCAAGCTTGAGAGAGGAGAGATAGTTAGAGAAAGAAAATGTAACTAGATTCGCTGAAGTTTATTTGGGTGACTTCATGAATACTGTTAATGTGGGACAAAAGGCAGAAGAAAGCAAGTTTGCCTGTAAACTGGCATTCTAGCCAAATGGACATTCTGGCACACAGGAAATGACCCCCCTCCCCTGTATTTTAAGAGTCCATTATACACTGAACCTCAATCTGCATTGGAAGGAAAAGACCCATTGGTGCAAAAACATTTAGGCCTGGTTCACACATACTGACACAATTCAAAATATATATGAATTGAGTATCTGTTGCTGAATTGTGGGTTGTTTGTTGCATTGCAGGTTGATGTTATGTGTGAACCTTGCACTGTGGTTTGAATCTGAATTGTTAACCAAGAGCATCACAGAACTTGCAATCCAATCCAAGCCATGTGTCCCCTTCCTGGGTTGTTCTTGACTACTGACCCACAGTTAAACCATAGTACAGGGTTTGCACATGATTCCACAACCTGTACTCTGGGTTGTTGTTTCAGGTGAACTGGGCCTCAATGCCACCCCTGGCCCTTAAAGTTCAAACCAAGCCAGAGTGGAGGGTTTGCAGATGATCCTGTCACCTTTTCAAGAGAAATATTACACAAGCCTTTCTTTAGCACCTGAGCTCCTGCCCTTTGGAATCCTCCATCTTTGTAGCTGCTTTTTCTTGCTGAGCAAGACAATGCTAATTGTTTCTGTGCTTCCAGGGGAGCCTTGGTCCACACCTTGCCTCTGCTTGCTTTTGTATAACTTTAAGCACAGTGGGGGTTGGGGGAAGAACAAATGTGAATGCCTGGTAGTGGGAGAGCAGAGGGGAAAAACCAAGGATAGGTTGGCGAAACTCCATCTTTTTCAAGACCTTTTTTGTATGGGGGAATCAGGGCTGTCTTAACGCATGGGCCTGATGGGCACTTGCCCGTGGGCCCCATACTAATCTGTGTGTGTTAACCCTTGGAAAATTGGAAAACTTCCAAAATTAACAGTAGTTGTAGTTGTCATAGGGGCCCCAGTACACTGCTTTGCCAGGGGCCCATAATGCTGTTAAGACGGCCCTGGGAGGGATGCTTTTGTTTATTGGGGGTGGGTTCCTTCCTTCCCTCCTCACATTCACATCTTTAATAAGGGAGTTTAGCAGCTCTATATCAGAAAACAAAATTCCAAAACCAGCAAGGTCGCAGCCCTAGGCTAGAGCTGGGTAGGGTCTGCCCAAGAAGCTGATGCCGATGCATTCCAGAGCAACCTGCGGCATGTACACCATCTGCCTTCATAATGCCACAAGGCCGTCCTATCCTGCAGACCAGATTTCTCCAAGCTGGTGCCCTGCAGAAGTGTCAGACTGCAATGGACATTGCCTGGGATTGATGCGAACTGCAGTTTGAAACATCTGCAGGGCACAGGTTGGGGTAGCCTGCTTCAGACAGCTGTAAACATGAGCCCCGGGGCTGTTCCATGTTTCAGAAGGTCCTTGGGCAAAACACCGTCCATGGGCCCCCTCCCTCAGTGAGCTTGCCCCCTCATCCCCGAGGCCACCGGCAGCTCTTGCGTCCCATCCTCTTTCTCGCCATCGCTTCCCCTTTCTTTCTTTGCAAGGCAGAGAGCCAGGGAGCAAGGAGGCTGTGGCACTGTTGTCTGGGACACAACAAGAGGCAGACATACAAATAGGCTGCAGTAGAGAAGAGGACGAACAAGTTCATGGGTCTGTTGTCAGTGGGCCTCTGCCGGAGGGTGCTGACTGTGTATGCACCTTTATATCCAGTAAATTTCTTTGGAATTTTAGGCTGGGTGTCTACAGACCTACATGTTAGAGACACTTACAGCACCCAGATGTCTTCCTGTGGGGCTTGTTTTGTTTTTCTTGTCCCCAAATATCCATTTTAGTCACGGCAGAGGCAGCTGCTTGCTACAAAACCGCATCCTGGTCCATCCCTTAAAAGATCATTACTAATAGTTGGTTAACTACACAGGAAATGAATCCATCTGTTTTCTGAGTGCCTTTGTGTGGGTGTGTATGTGCCGTGTGCATGCGTACAGCTGAGCCATAGGAAGAGATGAATAAATGAACCAGTGCTCAAGGGAGAATTAAAAGTTTAGATCTGGGGAAGAAATGGTGAAGAATAGTGAAAATACAAAATAACAATGAATTAACTTATTCTTTCTCTCTTTTTACCCCACTGGAAGTGCCGAATGCTCCATAGCCCACAGATGCTGCTTGTATACAATCCCCTTCCTAGGATCACCACTCCCCCCACCCCATGGTTCTCTTCCTGCGCCATTTAATAGCAGGGCGATGCTGGGAAATTAAAGGTATAGTCTGGTGCAGAATTAAGGCCTTTAACTCCCAGAATTCCCAAGCCATTTGTGACTAATCAGGGCAAGCTGGGAGTTGTAGGTCTGTTTTCTGCCTGAACTTGCAGAAGATTGAGTCTTCAGCAGCTTGATTTCGAGTAGGGAGATAAAATGATGGGGGGGGGGGGTTTAGGGGCATACAAAGTTGGTAACAGGTATTGGCAACAATTCGCCAGGATTTCTGGGAGGAGGTCTTGCCCAGCCCTATCTTGTGATGCCTGGGGCTGTTTTGAGCTATTGTCCTTCACGTATATGTGAAATGAGTTTCTCTCCTTATTGCTGAATAAAGGACTTGGTTAACCAGGAATTAAATAAACTACCTCATCCTCATTGTGACACAGCCTTAATACGATCTACTTTCCTTTCATTGAGCCTCAGCACTTTTCACTTGCTTATTTGTGTGTGTGTGTGTGAGTCTGGTGGCTCTTAAGGGCATAGAAGACCTCCTGTGAAAAATATTTTACCATGATCCCAATAATTTGCAATTTCCAGGTCAGGCCTATGTTATCTGTTTCAGTATGAAATATGACAGACAATTTAACTGTGTCCTAATGAAAGGAACTTAGAGCTACACATACCTAGTCTTGTGTGAAACATGCACATGTGTGTGTTTTTCTGTTTCACTGTGTAGGGAAGTCATAGAAATCCCCAACAGCTTCAAATGAAAACAGATCTCTAAAAACCCAACCCATGGATTCTACAGTAGACTGGCTTTTTACTTTCTGAAATGTTGCACAAATTGTAGAAACATACAACAAAATATGCATTTCCCTCCAGACTAAATTGCAAAAATGTGCATGGGAGGCGATTTGCACCTTTGAGTGAGATTTGTACACTTTCAGAAGTGCAACTGCAAATCTGCGTGAGTCCAGATGAACACAAGTTTGGGAAATGAAAAAAAAAAATGCAATTCCACCAAAGAGCAGATGGCGCCTGACAATCTGTGAAACACTGACAGAACAGATCCGGCCATCCTTACTGCCCTGTGTGTGCTGCAGCAGTAGCCAGTTTTATGCCTGCTTACAGAGGTATGGAAACACCTAGAACTGGAGTGAGGCAGCTAGAGAAAGAGCAGAAAGGTGCAGCAGCGGAGGCTGTGAGAAATGAGAGGAAGCGGCCAGGGCAGGTTGGGTCCCTGCTGCCTGGCAAAGAGCAAGTTTTGCCGTGTGAAGCCGTGTTCTGAAGTTAGAGGCATTTGCTGCAGTGGCCAGGTCCTGGAATGAGAGACACGTGGGGAAAGCCCCAGAGAGGGAACTGTGGTGCCACAGACGCTGACAAAATACCTCTTGGATTTGCCAACCCATTTCCAAACAAGCCCCCATTTCTCAGGCGCGCCTGCTCTCCCGTTCAGGATCATGGCATTTCTGGGTGCTGCTTGCGCTACCGTCTGCCTTGCCCTGCCCTTTTGCATCCTGATGCATGGTCCACCGTGGATGTGACGTCCTGTGCTGGTGACATGTGCCAGCTCATGCTTCCTGTGCATGCCCCAGTCAGGGTCTTTTCCCCTGCATGAGTTTGAGTAACATGACTATGATTCCCGCCCCCCCGCCATTCCTCTCATTTTGCTTGTAAATTTTGTCCAAATGATCAAGACGTTGAATAAATGGAGAGCTTTTTGCATCTCATAGTACTCCATTTTGTATCAGTGGGATGGTTATTATTTTGTATTATTTCCACAAAAAGCTGAGAAAGATTTTCCAATTTCCTGTTGTCATTGTTATTTTTCAGTTTCTTCCACATGATTCTTTCTGCCTTTGCCAGCAAGAAATAACGAAGCCCTGGTGTTTCTTTCTGTCTAGAGCTGCGGACAGTTAAGAATTCTAGAACACCCTTTCCTCAGTATGTTGCCCTCAAATGTGTCAGATCACATCTTCCCTGGCTGGAACACCATGTTAGCTGGGCATGATGGATATTCAAGTCTAACACATCTGAAGGGTGGGGAAAGACTGTCCTAGAGAAATGTTCATACATTTCAGACTTGGTAAAGCAGAGCGCAGAACTGGTGATTTCTCTTTGAAATGACTTTGGTCACTACCAACAGCTCAACATGACAGGGTGACCAAGGTTCACTGTGAAAAATTATAGCATGTAAGCTGCTTTTAAGAACCGAATGTGTACAGTTCTAATTTGACCAATGTACAATGCGATTTTAACGCATGTTCTCCGTGAAGCCGATTCCATTGGATTCAATGGGGCTTATTTCCAGGTTTGTGTCCACAGGAGAGTAACCATATTGTTTTAGCTATAATCGTGCTTATCAATTTCAGTCTAAGCAAGAAATATAAATTTCAGCTTCTGAGTTCTCTCTTTAGGGGAGGGCTGAGCAACCTTTGGCTTACTTGCAAAAAGCCATCTGCAAGAGCTCAATTTAGATCTGTCTCTCCTTGGCAGCCCACTCTGTGGAATGGAAAAGGGGGAGAGAAGAGAAGAGGATAGCAAAGTGGGGGTGAGGAAAACACAGTGGAAGGCAAAGAAAAGTGGGGAGGGGGTCAGAGAGTGAGAAAGGTATCCCTGCCCACTCTGTGGCCTCTGCCCAGTGCTGACATGCATCCCCTGACATATGACCGCTGAGGTAATGCATCCATTGGCAGACAAAATAGTTTCCCTGCTGCATCTTAGGGGATTCCACTCTGTTTGCAAGGCAACACAACACAGCCCCCTCCTAACACTGCCTATGGCCCTTTGTAGCATCCTGGGGTGAGGTCCCTTTTTTGAAGATGATGCACATTCATTCTGAGTTCCTTCAGAGAATGTACTGGGCCTGGCTTCCAGTGCGACCTGTCCAAAGAGACAGCAAAGTTATTCTGGCTTTTCCTCCTCCTTTTCCTGGCAAGAGAAAAGGTGGAAGAATCAGTGGGAGGACTGCAAAGGTTCTGTGGCAACTTCACATCATCCTGTAAAATCTTGTATTCGAGGCAAGGAGCTGGCAGGACTAAAGTGCCTAAACATCTGATGGGTTTCAGACATCTCCCATAGGCAGCAAAATTGGTTTGGAGGCAATATTAAACAAAAAAATGTAATCTGATCCAAGACCTGGATGCAGCCAGATGGTTGTTCTCCTACGAGGTCAGGATATTGTCTGCTGTGGGGAAATGTGGTTCCCACAAGGGTGTCTCTGCAGAATGTTCAACAAGACTGACTCAAGATGCTCAGCTGCGTAAGGAAGACCCTCATACGCTGGAACTTGGAAAACCTCTCTGTAACTTTTGCGTTGTGCATCTCCTCTATGCTCCCCATCATCCACCCCAACTATGCAGCCTTCTAAGGAGGGCTGAGGGGGTGGCACTGTTTTCCAGGCCCCCTTCATTCTATTCTTGGTATTTCCCCATATGCACATGTCTTTCCCCCTTCTCTTTCTGTGCAGCTCAGTCAGTATCCTCATCTACGGGAGGAAATGGAACGAATTGTTACAACTCACATCCGTGAGCGAGAGGGCAGGACAAAGGATCAGGTATGTATGGTTTCACACTCACACAGTCTTGAGGCATGTGCAACTTTAAACTAAAACTACATTTTCTCAGGGTTTTTTTTTTCAGAACAGAAGAGCATTATGGGTAGGGGCATAGAACTAGTCACCTGACACATGAATCTCTACCCCTTCCATGCTATTTAACTGACTACAGTGAATGCCTAATGCTAGAGCTGGGCCTGGCATCACATTGAACTAGCAGGATTTTACACGTCCCTTTTTAGAGTCAACATATACAAGAAATGGGAACCAGTTCCCCAAGATATCATCCCTGAGGTTAGGATGCCAAGCAGTTGGCCTCTCTTCAAAAAACAAACAAACTTTATAACCAGTGCCCATACTTCTGTACGCAAATCCCACAAGTCACATGCATGGAAACCAAGCACAATTTGGGGTTTTGTAACCCCAAGGTGGATTCCTCCTACATTGCTAATACAAATTAATCCAGTGATTTTCTTTATGCCCCACTCTGTTAGTCCCTCTCTGAGTCCATTAGCATAGCCCCTAATTCCTCTCTCATTCCTCTGCTCGCACCCCCCACACCAGGTTATGCTGCTGATAGACATCGAACTGGCCTACATGAACACCAACCATGAAGATTTCATCGGATTTGCCAAGTAAGCCTCAGTGGTGGGGTGGCCTGCATGTTTCCTGGAAGTCCATACGATTATACTGGTTATGTGACGTGATGACCTGGGCATGTGCGTTAACCAGCCATAAACTTTGAAGAACAGGCACTCTTTTTGGCAGTACCCATAGTTCCCGCTCCCTCCAAGAAGAGACCAAAACATAGCTGAATGAATTGATATCAGCAAACCAGTTCTAGCAGTTTTCACCTCCTCCAAAGTGCAGATCTTTTCTCAAACTAATTTATATTTTTATATTGAATTTACCTGCCACTTTTCCACATAAATATAGATACTATCTATCAGTTACGCTGCAAGGCAGAGCCAGATGTACTAAGAGCACCGGTCTGTTCTAGTAACTCGCATGCTTTTTCCCTTGGAAAAAGTCAGCACCCTACCCCCTTGTTAGGGGAATGGGCAGGGCTGAACCCACCAAGGAGAAGAACTTAAGCTCAGTGTAAAGCTGAGTTCAGAATATTTGGATGCACCTTAGCAGTCCCAAACCAAAGAGGTTTCTAACATCTTCCGTCTTGTTTGGTCTGTCGTGCAGTGCTCAGCAGAGGAGCAGCCAGATGAGTAAGAAGAAGACCGCTGGTAATCAGGTAGACCACATCTTTCATTGTCATTCTAGGCCACATTTCAAAGCTGTCAGATGGGTATACATTGTGATTTCCAGGCGATGGATGGAATATTTTTTTAACAGGATTGTGAAGACAGAAAGGACCTGAAGGCTATTTCATCCAGCCCATGACACTGGAGAAAAAGATTCCATTTCCTAGGAGGGCCTTCTAATAGTCTTAATCTGCAGGGATTAGAATCTCCTTTTCTGTCAGCAGGCAGGGCTCGTCTCCTCTTGAGGGAGGGGTCTCCCTGGTCTCCCAGACCTGCTTTGCCTACTGTTTTCTGAACCCAGATAGTGAATTCTGTCTAGGACTTCTGATTATTTAAAAAACTGACATTCTCTTAGTACTATATTCTGATGTTATTATGATACTTGTGTCTTCTTAGTACACAGAGAAATGCCAAGTAAATAAATAAATAAAATAATTTGTAGTAGAATATTAGTAACACTCTATCTTATTATTCCTACTGTATAATACTGAAAAACTAAACAGGCTGTGCTCACAAGTTCACACACTAAAGCAGCCTTCCCTAACCTGGTACTCTCCAGAGCAGGATGGGGGAGATATTTGTTCAATTAACATCTTTATGTGAATTTACTAGATTCATAGAACACAAGCCTGCCTGTATAGGAACCAGGTTGAATTCATGCAATTAAATCATCAATAGCCACGATTTTTCTAAAGTCTACCTTCAGAGTTTGCACATGTGTATGATACAGAAAAGGGGCACAAAACTGGGACATATATACTTCAGAAATGCAGACAATTTTTTAAATGTATCCAATATTACATTCTGAGTGATTCACATGAAAATATGCACACATTTTCATGCATTCCCTAGAATGAACCATGGAAAGTGATGCAGCGGTGGGACTGAGCTAGTATAACGAGCAACTGAGTGCCATCAAACATGATAGATTCATCTACCCCTACCTTCAGGTGCCTCAGACTACACCTCCCATCAAACCCTTGCCAGCATGGGAGATGTAATGCAAGATATCTCGAGGATACCATGTTAGGCAAGCTGTCTGAAGAATGAAATGGAAAGAGGATGTCATCGTAGCATGAGACGATGGCCAATAAATCTAGGAAGGCTCGTTCACTCTGGAAATCACACTTTTCGGGGTATGGCGTGAGTGTACAAAGCATACCCTGCAGCCCTAGTTTTCACCACAGGACCCCGAGGTTGTTGAACTAGTTCATCTTCACTGCCACGGATCCTGGAACTGGAATTCCCAAAGTTAGGCTTCAGCTCTCTTGCAGAGGTGCCTCAGGGCACTCACCTGTCTACCCTGCTTGGGATACTTAGACGGGGAGCCATGGCACTTGAACGGCAGTAACAGCCCTAGAAACGCACAACTCATCCGCAGTGGGTGAGCCTGTGTGCCGACTTTGCTGAGCTGTGGCAACATGTCCCTCAGCTGCATGGTGCCCTGGGCAGCAGTCCAGAACCCAACCCATGGGAAAGCCAGTGGGTTAGGGCAGAGGAGTTTCTGGGCTGGAGCAGAGGGCTTGGGGAGCCTCCAGAAACCAGACTAGCTGTAAGTTCCACCTGGCCTCGGGCAGCAGCTGCGTCAGTCCCAGTGGAGGCCCAAGGCAAGAGATGCTAATTGTGCTTGGGTACGGAAAGGCGTGGGTGAGACGGTAGCCACTGTGGCTGGCCACATCACCATGTGCAAGGAGACAGAAAACAACCACATTATATTGTCTGATTATATTCCTCATGGACACCCATCTAAAGTTGATCTAGCCTTGATGTTCATCCTCCTTGATGTCCATGATTGAGTCCTTCCCAGCAGGGGATACTGGGCTTCATAGTCCAATACACCGGGGGGGGGGGCAGGTTGGAGAAGATTGATGTAGATGTGCAGTGATATCACACCAGCTTTTTCTACCAATGCCTTTTCTGAAGATAGGGCTTTACTGGCCAACTCCCAACTGCAGCCAGCTGCATAGAAAGACGTTTGGGGAAGGCCACACTGCTGACGCTTCTGGCCTGTTCATATTTCACTTTTGGGCTTGCCTGCTGTGACCAGCCTGTGCTTAGTTTTGTTTTTATTTTCAACTCTCCCCTTTTACCTATGTAGATTTTGTTTTGTGATGTGCTCTTTATGATGTTTTTGCAATGATACCACTAATTTAGTAAATGTTTCTGGTGATAAATGTTTATTTATATTATATATATATATATATATATATATCTCCTATATATATATCTGTATCTTTTTTTTCTTCTTTTGGGTGCCTGGTTTCTTGCTCCTACTCCTGCTTTTTTGAGTAATGATCTCTCCTTTCTTTGCTCCTGCCCTCTCTGCTGCTGCTGTTGTTGCTATGGCCCTCTTTTTGCAGGATGAGATTCTGGTGAGTAAAATAGGGCACTGGATGCGCACTGTTAATGAGTACTAATTTAGGTGCATCTGGGGGAATGCTGGAGACCCTTCCCTCTGCTGAAGATGGAGCAGGGAGAAGTGGGGAAATGCCTTTGGCCAGGGAAGCAGGAAATAAGGGAGTAGAAGCACGAAGTTAATGGACATTTAAAATGCAATTGTAGGCTTGTTTAGACGGGGGGGAAAAGCCCTACCACTTGCAGGATGTTCCACCCAGCACTGGGGACTCCAGAGGTTGACGGCCACATTTGAAATTTTGAGTGACTGTCCTGGGTGCTCTTGCAAAAGGGCTACCAAAATGGTTGCCATGGTGGGCCTGGCTGGTCACAAACCCCTTATTTCCACAAGGCAAATCAGTGGAAGCAACAGAAAGCCCGCTTGCTCGCCATAGGATGTAAATGTAGGGCAGAAGTGGAGTCTAAGCTACAAAACTTAGAGGAGGATCTTCAGGTAGACTGGTGCCCTCTGGCATCACCTTAGAAACCCCATCTCCAGTCTATTAAAACCTCAAGGTTGAAGGAATTCCAATTTAAAATGAGGATGGAAGTCCAGAAGATCTCCCAGGATCTTCAAGGATCCTCACGAAAGCTCCAGTTGTAGGTTCCTGTTAGTTTTCCGGAGAACCAGTACAAGCTCATGCTGCTGATACTATACATAGCCCAGACAGAAAGCTACCCATGCAGTACTGGGCATGCCTATGGTGATGTCACATGGAACTCAGTGGGACGTACTCCTTGGTAGAGGCATATAGGATTGTACCCTGAGCATGACCCTGTGGGGGCCCTGCCCTGCTTGCCCTGGCTGCCTGTGTGTGCCTGAGCCCAATTCAACATGCTGCCCTGCCCTGAAAGGCCCTACAAGGCTTGGGGCTGAAACACTTCTCAGAGTGCTTCTTCCAGTGTGAGCGTACATGTCATACAATTGTCATTTGACACTTCCTTCGGGTGCCTCCTCTGAGGTACCAACAAGGGAGAGGGCCTTCTTGGTGGCAAAACATTCTTCCCACAACAGTCCACCTGATTGTCCTCTATTCCCAGGCAGTAGACAGCCTGTGCTAAAGATTTTAATTGGTCCTTGGATTTCAATGGTTGAGTGTTTCAAAGTGCTTTTGTAAATGGTTTCTATATTAAGTATTATATTGTATTTTTAATATTCTGCAAACTGCCCAGAAGCTTTAGCTATAGGACAGTATAGAAATGTAATAAATAAGAATGATAATGCAACCCCCAGAATGCCATGGGGTGGCTGGTTGGGGGATTCTGGAAGTTGTAGGCCTTTTCTCTGTCTAAACATGCATATAATTTACAGTAAAGCAATCGAGATAACTGCTGGTAGTGTGAAGTACACCAGTAGCTCTTTTATCTCTTTCTGTTGAATTTGAGTCCAATGCTTGATTATTCTTTTTCTTTTCTTTTTCAGTTGGGGGAGATACATGTGTGCATGTGTGTGCGCATGCACACACATTATTACTAATTATGAAATCTCTTTAAGATGCAGTCCATTACAAGCTTAGACAGAAAAGAAGGTCTACAATTCCTGGCATATTCTGCCATTTGGCAGGGCATACTGGGAGTAGCAGTTCTTTTTCACTGCCTAAACTTCCACAGGATTATACTCTTAATCCAGTAAATATTTTGTTGGCTTTATAGATAGTTCCGTAAAGAATTGTATTTAATTGCTATAAAGAAATAATCAAACTCTAATACATTTTTGCCAACGTGCTACAAAAATCATAATTGCTCCCAAATAGCATTCATTAGCAGTTCTTCCCATTATACTTTAATGGTTAAAGGATGGTAGATAAATATTTGAAAAATCATCCAGAACATTAAACTAATGGAACACGAACAGTTAAGAGGAGGAGAAAAGAAAGCGTAAACTTTTGAGTTACCTTTGTTATCTTTTCTTAATGTTTGCAAGCGATGTAGTCACCTTTATTTATACACATGACTTGTAATAGCTTAAATGTTGCAGATTTTTGTATAACCTTCTTTTCCATTAAGTTTATTTTCTGTTTTGTTGCTTCGCCATGCATATGTTAATAATTTGTTTCTGCATATATTGAGAAAATAATTATAATGTTTGAATTCATAGTAATACTTAATAAAGATTGAAAACAGAAGGTTGTCATGTTGACCAGCAGGCCTCCCCAAAAGGGAAAAAGGGAAAGGAAAGGAAAGGAAAAGATCAGAAGGGAAAGGGAGTGGGTAACCGATTTTGGACAGAGGGCATAAATACACAAGGAATATGTTGGATCCAGGGCCTTTAAAAACATAATTGTATGCATATGCCTTTACAAATCCAATAACATTACTTCAGATAATCTGCTTCTTGAAAATGAATGTGGAGATTTCTTGAATTCTACATTCTTTCTAGACATTTTCAGTGCACTAATAGCTTAGTGCAGGAATGGTAAACTGGTGGACCAGGGAACTGATTAAATCCTCAGAACAATTTGATTCTGCCTCCCCTGCCCCACAAGGTAACCCTTCCGAATTTTAATCAAGGTGTGCTTAAAAAAAAGTAGTGACATTTTCATTTCTGTGGAAAAGATGAAAGATGTAAAGAGAAAGATTTGATCCTTTAGGGTGGATGACCTCATTAAGGTTTCCATGAGATGGCTCAGGCATGTCTGATTATACTTCGTAACTGTGAAAATCCTTACAGTTTGTAGAACTAAATTTATTATAGAACCTAACCAGCTGTGAAGCGGTTGAGTTATGTGGCCAGAACTGCAGCACCTTGTATCTAAGAGCACAGAAATTGCAGGAATACAGAGGCCAGGCAGCCCTTCTTTCGGATGTCTTACATTAATCCAAATAAGGTGTTTATAGTTGTGCTGGTCTCATAAAATCTGAGGCAGAATTTATGCAATTATGTTAAAAAATGGGCTATTTGTTTTTGAAGTTTTCCTGCTCTGCTTCATAGGCTGTAGATAGTTTCCAGTAACCGTTTTTAAGTATAGTTTAAGACTGATTGTTTCTCCATGTTAATAATGACTGATTGTTCACCACCCATGTGCTGCTCTCATCCTCGCTGTCTCATGTGCATGCACACACACACGCACGCTATACACATGTTTAATCCAGAAGATGAATTCCAGACATTTGCCTTTTTAAATTCTTTTTAACATGCTCTCAACTTCTTTGCTTGTTGCCAAATCTCTCTTCTGCTTGATTGACAATCTTCACTACATGAATGTGTCTAAACAAGGCTGTGTATACTCGCCATTTTTAATAAAGAAACACATAAATTCAATTGTGCAGCATGTGTAAAGCATGCAAGGTAAATATATATGCATATTTGCCTAATTTATTCCCCTTCTGTTAAGTTATACGGAAGAGGGTTGTTCATGACTTTAAAGCCACTTCCAATGACCAAGGGAAATGCTGCTGAAACTTCTGAAATTTAACTGGGCATTGCCAACACATTTTTCAAGCCTAATTCAGTAGTCATAAGAACCAGAAACTTGTTTAGCCAAGTGAATACTGTGAAACTCAGTACCTTAAGCTTCATCAACTATCACAGAAAGTACTCTGTGTGTGCTGTCACAGACTGCTTACTGCACTTCTGCTGAACTGCAGAATGTACCAAGTCATGTTTATCCCCACCACCATGTGATGGACAAACTGGATTTGCCAGACATCTCTTGCTCCAGAATGCCAAAGTCCTCAAGAATAAACCCCAGTCCATAACGTATTTTTAACGTTGGCCCTGCAACCCAGAAGACAATGAATGGCATCTCCCTGGTTTCCACTTCCCGGCTGCGAGCCTCTGCCGTTTGCCATGGTTTGATTCCTCACGGATGGCAACAGGTCAGAAGCGATGCTCTCCACCGTAGCTCTGCTACATAAGTATTCTCTTGGGTAAACAACACATGAGCCGGGATGGATCAATTCTTGCCTGCCTCCTAGTGTTACCTGCCTTGCTCTTCTCTTGTTTTGGAAGAAGGTTCCCCTCCTGCCGGCCTCAGCTCGCCCTCCATGGAGGGCCAAGGCAGCAGCTGTGGCAGCCTTGCTCTTGGATGCGTTGCAGTGTCTGAGTGGAGTGCTGTCCTCTGCTGAACCAGAGCCTACGGCCGGCATGCATGACGAGGACGCGTTTTCCTCCTGTAGGTGATCCGCAAGGGTTGGCTCACCATCAACAACATTGGCATCATGAAGGGCGGCTCCAAGGAGTACTGGTTTGTTCTGACAGCAGAGAACCTCTCGTGGTACAAGGATGACGAGGTAAGGATGCTGAAGTTGTTGTTTTCTATTGTCATAATTGGCAGAAACTTCAAAGGCACACCAATCCGATTTTCCACTCTAGGGTTCTCTCCAGAATTGAGTAGCATTGCATCAGATGCTTGCTTCTAGAGTGGTATCAAAAGTAGGCTTGGTTGGACACCGGTTGAGGGTCTTCACCCCATCAGGGGCCCACACAGGATTTGCTCCCCTCCTCAACTTTGCTACCTGTTTGCTCTGGTTCCTACATCGGTGACAAAGGGAAGCAGCAGCAGCAGAGCCCTGCATGCATTGTGGGCAAGCATTTGCGATGACGAGAAAGAGGGTAAGGAGCAAACGTGGCTGGTGACCCGTGTGAGAATGTAGACTCACAAAGGGAGGGGCCCACTGAGGGTGTCATGCCAATAAGCCCCAGAAGTCTGGCATGGTCACTTCCTGATTCAGATCTGTGGAACTTCAGATCCAAGGAACTTGCCCTGAGCTTCGCACTGCCTCTGCTCTCTGCCCCATGGAGCCCCAGACCAGACCATGAGTCAGGCATGGCCATCCTGAGTTCAGTTTTTGATACAGAGAAGCCGCTTTTCCAGGTGGTGAACTGCTTGTGCAATTGTTTGTACCTCTCCAAACTATCAACCAGTGCCTCCTCCCTCTAGCCTAATTGTGGAGAATTTGTGAGGAGGCATCAGCGTGCAATCAGGGCTGCATTAAAAGTATGTGCTGGGGTGGAAAGAATCCACTGGCACCCCAAATGTTGAGTGCAGGGGGAACTGGTACCTGGATTGCTGAAGAGGGTAGAAGGAACCCTCCTGTACCCCATGGCATCGCCATCACTCCCTTGAATATAACTTCTGGGCATGTTTATTGGCAAAAGGTGCTTCCAGACAGACGCTTCTAGCTTTGTGTCACTCTTCTGTCTTTTATCTTCTGGACAGACATTTCCCTTGGTAACAAAAAGGCTGGAAGAAATGGTGGGAAAACTCTGGGGAGGTTACCAATGAAAGATATCATCCTTCAGAAATCCCTATCCCTCCCAAATCCATGAACAAGGCAGGGCACTTGCACAATAAATTCCCCATCTGGAAGCACCTGGTTTTTTGCATAATTTTGCAACTCCTGACTACGTGCATGCGTTCTTTTACAGTCTGGGAGTAAATGCCTAGTGACTTCAGGCTCTGAGGTCTAGAGGGGGCTGTTACCCACTTTTAAGGAAGCTTAGGGGATTTTCTCCATGCGAAATGCAGTACGTCTGTGGGTGCAGGAAGTGTGCATGTAAATGTATCCCCCCCACCCCGCCCCGAGTTGGAACACATCAGTGTGTTCATGCTTACAGAATGTTCTGAATCTTTTGAAAGGGACAAGTATTGCGTTTAATGGCAAGTTCCCTAGTCAGGTTCTGGCCAATAAATCAGGCTGGTATGTGCGGGAGAAAATAAGAGTCTTAACAAAGCCTGCGTTTAGTGGTATGTGTGCAATCAGACCAAGGGTTTCTTTTACAATGAAGACTTAATTTCCTGTTAGCAGGGATTGAAAGTGCCGAGCACCAAGCGTGTTCCATTCTTACTTGTGGTATATATCATCTCGCTCCCTGTCTGGGTCACGGTGCAAGGAGAACAGTGTCCGAGGACAGAGGAGAAGATAAGCAGGGGGGCAACAGTGGTGCCTATAGGAAGAAAATCTGGCAGGGCAAAGGCAATGTAAACTGGTGGAATTTTTAGAAAGTAACTACATAAATTCTGAATATGTTTGCTTCATTGCAAGCATATGAATATGTGTATATATGTGTGTATACAGGTATGTGGGCTGTGTGTATTTATTTTATGCCGCGATGGGAGCGGCATAAAAATGCTATAATAAATAAATAATATGAAGGTATAGTTTTCTAAGAATTATACATAAACTTCAACAAAAACTGTCCACTCCCAAGTGGCAACCATGTATCATCCATTCAAATGTTGAAAACATTTATTAGGTCTTCCGTCCATTACATTATAGGAGATGAGCATTTACAGTATATAAATGTTGTGAACAAATAAATACATGAAAAGCCCTCCACTTAGAGAGCCTCACAGTCAGTAAAGGGGGAGTTTGGTAACAAAAGCTGTAACACCAATGATTGTACTTACATAGTGGGTGCAAAGCTGAAAGATGGAATTCCCCACTACAAAGAAATAACAGTGGCAAATAATTTAGTCATTTGCAAAGAGGTATCAGTATAACATATCAGGGGTTGCTGGTTAAGAAAGCCAAAATTTGCATTGGTCACCATTTTATGACTGGCTTCACCCCTATGCTACCATTCTCTGATTGTTGGGCGTCTGCCATTTTCGGCTCTCTCAAGGGGGAGTCCTTGAGTTGAGCCTTGCGAGTGGAAGAATAGCCTTACTGCATGGAGAAATGTACAGTGTGGATTTTCCATACAACTTTGGCCATGCAAGTCTGGCTTTCCATTGGATACTTTGGTTCTCTGTTTTCTCTGATCGTCTCTGCATTCCAAAACTGGATAGAGATACAACTGTAAACAAGAAAATGATGGAACAAGTCGAGGCATTACGTAGTCAACCTGCCTGTGTTTCAGCACTGAAGAGAGCACTCCAGCATTGGAGATGTGTTGTGATAAGGTCCATAATCGCATGCATAATTATAGGAGAGGTTTACCATTAAGGTGCAGCTCTTTGTGATTTGGGACATCGCAGAAATAGCAAAACTGATAGAGTGCATTTAGCTGTGTGATAGGAGGACATTGAATAAATTTTGTTTGTAAGAATTGGACTAAAGAGATATGGCCTAGACATTTAGTAGGTACAGTGCATTTAATCTGGTATGAAATTTAATGACTTGAATTGATCCTATTAATTTAGTTCTGTTTATGAGACTTGTTTTGTGTGGTGTTGATGTCATGCTATCTTTGTATTGTGGACAGTATTCAGGCTTGTTGAGAAGTTTATAATGTTTGGGGTATTTGCAATATTCATGATAGTATTATGATAAATTTTATAATTATTGTGTTGGGTACTATGAGTTTTTATAGTCACAAATATTGCAGGCAATTTATGATATAGCATTTTTCCTGTTTTGTTTTATACTGTATTTATTTCTGGAGGAATAACTGGAACTGGGCAGCAGGAGTGAAAGCTGTTCTGCTTAGTTAGTTATTTATATATATTTTTATTAGCTTTATATCTCACTTTTTTCTTTTAAAGAACACAAAACAACTTGAAACATTCTCCTCCTTCTGCCCACCAGTCTTATCTGCACAACTGGTGAGGTTTGTTGGCCTGAGAGTCTGTGACTGGCTCAAAGTCACCCAGTTGGCTTCATGGCTGAGCAGAGACTAGAACACAGATTACTGGAATCCCCGTCCTGTGCTATTAACCACTGCAGCACACTGGCTCTCTGAGTATATTGGCTTTCTCAGCAGAGATTACTAGAGAAGTAGAGAAAGACAGGCTATACTGATCCAGGCTCCAACTGGAAAAAATATCACTTCTTCCCAGGTATAAAATATTGTGCTGAGAATACTCTGAATCTGTGCAGCTAAGGTCCAGTCCAGATCTTGAAATGAACCCCATACTGTTTAGAAAAAAAATGTTTTGCCTTCCCTTGTTCAAGTGCTAGAATGGCAGGTACTCTTCTGTTTCTAGGCACCCATTAAAGGTATACAAGTCCTTTCAGGAACTTGGAGCTGGAAGCGCAGTGATGATGATGATGATGATGATGATGATGATGATGATGATAGTAAAGCTTTTAGCTTCTGTGTTGGGAGTGATCTTTCTAAATCTAAGGGCTTATCTGGATGTTGAGCCATAATAAGCCTGATGTGCACTGAAGGCTTCAGAGGATAACGCCACTGCAAAACACAAATCCAACTCGCTTCATATGGATAAGAGGGGGCTGCCAAATGTACATCTATGTCAAAGCTCTCATAAAGTCCCCAGAAGATAATCTGAACCAGAGTTTCCAAGGGGTAGCCCTGTGAAGGCAACAGTCCTGTGGCGCTGTTGAACGGAGGGGGGCAAAAGGCAGATTGTTGGGGCTTCAGCTCTCAGAAGCCCTGGCGAGCATGGTCACTGGTCGAGAATGCTAGGAGTTAAAGTCTGAAACATGTGGAAATCCATTTTCCATCTGCCCTCGCTTTGGAGGCTGACAGATGAATTAGTTGTGCCAAAGTAAGCGTCCCTGCCCTCACCCGAAATCCGTTAGTCTCATATGCCACAAGAGTCTTTGTTGCTTTTCTGCTGAATAAAAACGCTCTTATCCCAGGTGGGACCACAGTCATCTTCCGGAGAATTGAAAGAGGTGGGTGCCCAGCATTCGCACATGACAGCAAGCATTCCACACACACCCATTTAGACAAAACGTCAGGTGTGAAGTGGCCTCCAGCTAATTTTCCAGTGCTGCCTGCTTGAAAAGGTAGCAGGCGCCTCTCTTTTGAAAGTACTGTCTTTCCAGATGTTCCTTCTTTCAAAGAAATCGTTTTCTTATAAAGGACAGGCCCATTTTGCAACTTTCAGAGTTGCACTGAGCACAGTAGATGGCTTTTATCTCAGGCTGAGCAGCTCTTAAAACGGCACCCTTCAGAAATTGGGACAGAAATGGGGACGCTGCAGTCCCTCTGGCAAGCATAGATTGGCAATGTGAAGCATCCAAGTTGCAGTCTAAATCAGTCTCCCATCATCGCCATCACAAAAGTTCCTGGAGCGTGCCCTGGAGCTCACCATCCCCACTTCTTTGGGTGTGCAGGCAGGTGAGGACTAGGGACTCAAGTATTCACTTAAAATCTCACATTGGCCTCTGCATCTGGATTCCAGAGGTAGTCAGAATCCCCTCCCCTTCGCTCCAGTTGCTCAGAGGTGATGGGAATGCCTGCGGTCGAGGAGCATAAGCCATTTTAACCAGTTCCAGCTGCAGGGACTGAAGGGGGAAAGATGTGGGGGGAAGAGCAGTTCTCTTTAATCCTTGGGTGAGGGCAGCCCTCAGGGGCGAATACCAGCTGGAGGTTTGTA